GTTCTGCCCTCTAATGGCTGGGACAAGGCAGGCTGATGAAACAGGAGTCCCAGGATGAAGGGGCTACAGGTGCCTGCCTGGGCCCTAGCATCAGCCAGGACCTGCAGCTCTAGAGACTTCTATGGCAGCTGCTCTCAGTCCCCATAGAATCTAGCCTCTCCATCCTTCAATGGGTCACTCTTCTGACAAACAAAGATTACACCCTAATGGAGGGGAAGCTGTTTCCTCCAAGAAGTCACTCCTCAGAAAATTGGAGCTACATCTTGGGTGCAAGTCTTCCGAGCTTGGGTCTCGGGTGATGAGATGCCCCATCAGTTACCTTACAGAGGCTGAATCCTGGTTCTGCTGCTCTGGCTCAGTGACTTGGACCACATACTTCTCTGAACTGTGCCTCAGTTCCCTCATCTGGAAATGGGGTAACCGTGATATCCCTCTTGTAGCATCACCAGGAGGATCAATGGGGCCAGGTCCACACAGCTCCCTGTGCTGGCTGTGGCCAAGGTCATTCCTCCAGGGATACACAGCCTCAGTCAAGGCCACTTTGGAATGTGTCTGAGGTCCCTGACCAGAATCAATGGAAAAGGAGGCAGAGACGTTTAGCAGACAGATTGGGTAATTACTCCTGGGAGGATGAGCTCATACGTGGTGACCTTATGAGGACAAACGACAAAACCAACAATTGTCACAGTTGTGGTGGTTAAACCTCAATTAAACGAGTGAGTTTAGGTAAGTGACTCGACCATTCTGTCCCTTAGTTTTTCTCAACTGGAAAACAGGATTCGAAGTTGCTACATTCATTGTTTGGCAGTGAGGACTGAACGCATTACTATAGGTGAGGGCTTGTAGGCTTGGCAGAGCAGGTATCCGTATATGCAGGCCAATATGTTGTACTTGTAAGTTCTTGTACCTTGGGATAAAATTTCAGTGACAGCACTGTACACAGATTAGAAAAAAAATGGCCGGACACGGTGGCTCACACCTGTAATCCCAGCACTTTGGGAGGCCGAGGCGGGTGAATCACAAGGTCAAGAGATCGAGACCATCCTGGTCAACATGGTGAAACCCTGTTGCTACTAAAAATACAAAAAATTAGCTGGGCATGGTGGCGCGTGCCTGTAATCCCAGCTACTCAGGAGGCTGAGACAGGAGAATTGCCTGAACCCAGGAGGTGGAGGTTGCAGTGAGCTGAGATCACATCGTTGCATTCCAGCCTGGGTAACAAGCAAAATTCCGTCTCAAAAAAAAAAAAAAAAAAAAAAGAAAAAAGAAAAAAAACAAGTTTAGGCCAGGTGCAGTGGCTCACAGTTGTAATTCCAATACTTTGGGAGGCCAAGGCAAGCCAATCACTTGAGCCCAGTAGTTTCAGACCAGCCCAGGCAACATGGCACAAGATCCCATCTCTGCAAAAAATACTAAAAAAATACAGGTTGCAAGCCACTGCATCTAGTTGTGATTTTTTAAGTGTATCTACAACTAAATAAATATTAAAAGGGGCCTGGTGTGGTGGCTCATGCCTGTAATCCCAGCAGTTTGGGAGACCGAGGCAGGTGGATTGCCTGAGGTCGGGAGTTCAAGACCAGCCTGACCAATATGATGAAATCCATCTCTACTAAAAACACAAAAATTAGCTGGGCGTGATGGCACACGCCTGTAGTCCCAGCTACTCAGGAGGCTGACGCAGGAGAACTGCATGAACTAGGGAGGCGGAGGACGCAGTGAGCAGAGATCACACCACTGCACTCCAGCCTGGGCGACAGACCGAGACTGTCTCAAAAATAAATAAGTAAATAAATATTAAAAGGAACTTTGAAACAATTTAATCTGTGTCCCCCTTATATGTGATATGTTTAGTTTACATGTTTATATACACATGTACAAGCCATCTCTGGATTTTATCACTGGGAAAGCTGTTGTTGAATAGGGCTGATGTCTCTCCGGGTGTATCTTCTGAGTACCTACTAAGTGTGTGGTCTGCGTGGGGTTCAGGGTGTCTGTGTTCCAGGCCCAGTGGGGGTGTCATAGAGGAAGCAGGTTGCCAGGGGAATGGCAGTCGCTGTGCCCTGGGACAGGTGCTGGGGAAGGGAGGAAGCACTGTGGTTGGTAGGGGGTGCCGAGCCTGGTGTGGGGGTTCAGAGAACTTCTCTAAGAAAGGTGTGTCTGTTAAGACCCGAGGAGGGTGGGACTGGGCCCTCACAGAAAGCCGTACTGAAGTACCAAGCCCCAGCATCTCCAAAGGTCACCTCATTTGGAGACAGGGTCTTTACCCACAGAGGTAGTCAAGTTAAAACAGGGTCATTAGCATAAACCCTAATCCCGTTGGACTGGTGTCCCTGCAGAAAGGGGAAATGCAGGCACAGACACAGGGAGAACGTTATGCGAAGCGGAGGCAGAGACAAGGCTGATGCATGTATGTGCCGACACCCACTGGGTGCTAGCAGGGAGGCCAGGAACAGATTCTCCCTCACCGCCCTTGGAGGGAACCACCCTGCCGATGCCTTGACCTCAGACTTCTGGCCTCCGCAACTGAGACGATACAGTTCTGTAGTTTAAGCCACTCAGTGTGGGTACTTTGTTACAGCAGCCCCAGCAAATTAACACGGGTGGGCAGGAGTGAGCCTGGAGTTGGGGTGAAGGTGGGGGGGTTCCAGGCAGACAAAGCAGTGTGCACGGGTAATTGTTGAGGAAGGTAACAGGGTTCAGCAGGGCCTGACTTGGGCCACAATGAAAAGTGAGGGTCTTACAGTATCTACTTATTGGGGTTGCCGTGAGAATCAAACAAGATCCATGGGTTTTGCGTGCATGATGGAACACACCCTGTGTGCTGGACATGTTACAAGTGCCTTGTGACCAAGACGGTGGCACCTGCTTTCCCATGGGGGATATGGGATGTGGAACAGAGTATAGTGCCATGGAATGATGGCCTGGGCTACTGAAGGCCAGGAGGACCTGTCTGAGGGAGTGGCATCAAGTCTTCTCGAGCCCTTGTCAGCTGCGCCCGAGAAGACTTGGAGGGAGCTCACTGCGGGCAGCAGTGAGAGCCAGTGCAAAGGCCCTGGGGTAGGCCTGGATGTGGAGAGTGTGAGGAGCAGCAAGAGGCCAGTGTGGCTGGAGCAGAGTGAGGAGGGGAGAGTGGATGGGAAGGAGCGCAGAGGTGAGGGGCAGATCGCCCAGGGTCTGAGCAGGAGTCTGGGCAAAGAACACGGCACCTGGTATAAAACGTGTGTAGTCAACGTGAGTCTCCATTATTAATCCCGGGAGCAGGGGGAGGCTGCTGAGGCTTTAAGCATCAGTCTAGTTTTCAGAATCCCCTCTGGCTCTCAGCATGAGCTCAGCACACTCGCCTGCTGATATCTCCAGGAACACCGTTTCTGTCCCATGACACATCTCTCCCCCCAAGCTCTGTGTCATCCCCCGATTGGAATGTCCCCATCTAGGTCATGAAAGATGACACTACAAAGAACAGGATGGAGGAGGGCAGAGCCCCTCACTCAAGAGACATGAGCCTTGGGCTCTGATCCAGGCTGCATCTCTCACCAGCTGTGTGACTCTGGGCCTCAGCTGCCTCATCTGTAAAAGGGGGAGGACAGGTCCACCCCATGGAGCTGTTGTGGGATCCAGTGAATTCATTCGCATCAAAACACTTGGAACTGAACCCAGATGTGGTGGGTGCTTAGGAAATGTTAGCTACTGTATCCTCCAATGAAAAACCTTTTTGCAATTGCATACTCCTCTCCTCTCACTTTAAAGCAAAATGCCCCAAATGAACTCTCATGCAGCTCCTCAATTCTGCCTCACCCTTTTCTCCTCAGAGAGGAGAGACCTCAAGAGACTTGTGGGAGGCTTAATACTATATAGTCAGTTCTCGGCTCAGCACTCGGGCCTGGGCCCTGCTCCCTCTCCCCAGGTCCGCCCTCCCTTGGCCCCAGCCCCAGCCTCAGCCCCGCCTCCATCCCTCCCCGCCTTCCTCCTGCCCCGCCTCCTTCACTGGCTTCTCACATTGGCTCAGCACCAAAGGGTTTCAGTCTCCGTCCCACACTTCTCCCCTATCCACATACGCCCTTCCTCAGGGGCTCTTCCAGCCTCACAGCTTCAGGCTGATTAACACCCAAAGTTCTCCCTCCAGCCTGACCTCTCTGCTGAATTCGGGATTCCTTACCCAAGGGCCTCCCCAACGCCTCCGTCCGGATGTCTCATGCACATCTCGAAGCGAAGCATCCAGCATTGAGCTCCTGCGCCTTCCCCACGCCTGCTCCCCACTCAAGGCAAGTCTATCCTCCAGGGTTCAAGACGCCGCATCATCCTCAACCCCTCTCTTTCTCTCACACCACATCCACCCTGCCAGCAAACCCGGTCTGCTCCATTTCAGATAATCTATCCGGAACCGCCCCCTTCTCACCCTCTCCGCCCCGCACCCTGCTCCCGCCCCCTCATCTCCGCCTGGACCACGAGACAGCAGCTCCTCCCTGCTCCTCGCAGGCTGTTCCGCACACGCAGCTACAGAGACCCTGGAATGCCCAATTTAGATCCTGCCCCTCCTCTGCTCCACGCCCTCCCATGGCTCCATCTCATTCAGGGCAGATGCCAAGCCCCTTCCACGTGGCCAGCAAGACTCCATGTTCTGTCCCCACACGCTCCCTGACCCTGATTCCAGCCACGTCGTCCTGCCCGCAGGTGACGGTGTCTCTCACTGTCTCAGGACCTCTGCAGCTGCTACTCCTTCTGCCTGGAGTGTTCCTCACCCAGATAGGGCACAGTGCTAACCACCATCGACCTACTACATGCTTCTCTGTTCATTCCATTTATTGCTGGTCACCCCAATTGGAATGCCAGCTCCCCAAGAGGGGTTCTCGCCTGTCCTCTTCGCAGCTGCAGACCCAGTGTGTATGCAGTGTGCTCACAGACGCCTGTGCAATGACAGCGTGTGGCATCACCCATTTTCCGCCCCAGAGACGCCCTAGTGTGGCTCTGGCGGGTGCCTTGCTGGACATCCAAGCACTTACTTCTTTGGGTCACTGAAGGGGAGTGGCCGTGGTGGGGGCTCCTCCGTCCTCTTCCACCCTGTTGGATGCTTATTGCGCACAGGCTGCTTGGAGAAGAAGGACTTGGGGACAGAGGCGGAGAGCTGGAAGGGGCTGGGCTGGGCCAGCTGGGAGGGCCGAGGAGTCTCTGCGCTGGCATTTTTGTAAACCTGAGCCGGGTATCCAACCCTGGAGCCCATGTCACTGCAAAGCAAAAATGAAAAGAGATAAAAAAACCAAATCCATTCCACATTTGGCAAGACAGAGCTACTGAAGTTTACTCTTGGGAATTGAAAAGTTCATTTGCACAAGAGAGACACAAATATATTACCACTGTGGAAAATTCCAACAATATGGAAGTCTATCTGCGGAAAAGGGAAGGCTGCCCGAGGATGGCCTTCTAGCACATTTGGTTCCTCTATGGGAATCTGAAACATTCACCCCGGCCTCCCTGGTACAACCAATGCAGCTCAAGGTGGGGATCCCACCTCCTGCACATCTCTAGAAGGAATCATGGCTTAGTTTGCTTTATTTCCTTTTTTTTTTTTTTTTTGAGACGGAGTTTTGCTCTTGCTACCCAGGCTGGAGTGCAGTGGCGCAATCTCGGCTCACCGCAACCTCTGCCTCCTGGGTTCAGGCAATTCTCCTGCCTCAGCCTCCTGGGATTACAGGCACGCGCCACCATGCCCAGCTAATTTTTTGTATTTTTAGTAGAGACTGGGTTTCACCATGTCGACCAGGATGGTCTTGATCTCTTGACCTCGTGATCCACCCGCCTCAGCCTCCCAAAGTGCGGGGATTATAGGCGTGAGCCACCGCGCCCGGCCCCTTTATTTCCTTCTTAATCTTTCTTTTTTTTTTTTGAGACAGAGTTCGCTCTTGTTACCTAGGCTGGAGTGCAATGGCGCGATCTGGCTCACCGCAACCTCCGCCTCCTGGGTTCAGGCAATTCGCCTGCCTCAGCCTCCTGAGTAGCTGAAATTACAGGCACGCGCCACCATGCCCAGCTAATTTTTTGTATTTTTAGTAGAGACAGGGTTTCACCATGTTGACCAGGATGGTCTCGATCTCTTGACCTTGTGATCCACCCGCCTCGGCCTCCCAAAGTGCTGGGATTACAGGCTTAAGCCACCACGCCTGGCCTAATCTTTCCCTTTTTTTTGAGACAGGGTCTCACTCTGTCACCCAGGCTGGAGTGCAGTGGCGTGATCTCAGCTCACTGCAGCCTTGACCTCCTAGCCTCAAGTGATCATTCCACCTCAGACTCCAAGTAGCTGAGACTACAGGCATGCCTGGCTAAATTTTGTAGAGATGGAGTTTCACTCTGTTTCCCAGGCTGGTCTTGAGCTTCTGGGCTCAAACAATCTGCCTGCCTTGGCCTCTCAAAGTGTTAGGATTACAGGTATGAGCCACTGCACCTGGCCCTTAACCTTCTTCTCTTTTTTTTTTTTTTGAGATGGAGTCTCATTCTGTTGCCCAGGCTGGAGTGCAGTGGCACCATCTCAGCTGACTGCATCCTCCATCTCCCGGGTTCAAGTGATTCTCCTGCCTCAGCCTCCCCAGTAGCTGGGATTACAGATGTGTGCCACCAAGCCCAGCTAAGTTTTTTGTATTATTAGTAGAGATAGTGTTTCACCATGTTGGCCAGGCTGGTCTCAAACTCCTAACCTCAAATGATCCACCTGCTTCAGCCTCCCAAAGTGTTGGGATTACAGGCTTGAGCCACTATGCCCGGCCAACCTTTTTCTATGTATCAAAAACATACACAAGTGTATATAATCAGAGAAAGGGGACTTTTTGGGGGGGGTGGGGTGGATTATTGGTATTTGTTTAAAGAGACAAGGTCTCGCTATGCTGCCCAGGCTGACCTTTAACTCCTGGGCTGAAGTGATCCTCCCACCTAAGCTTCCTAAGTAGCTGGGAACATGGGCATGTGCCATCACACCAGCTAGGATTATATATAAGTTAATAAATCCCTTTTGAGGGTCAATTTAGTAGTATTGCAGGATGGTACTTTTGACTATAGTCAAATGAGAAGACTGGCAAATCTCCCCAGTGAAGACAAAATTGACCACAACCAACCATTTCATTTAGTACTCTGAAAACTGACCAAACACATGACAATCTGAGAAGAATTTATGCCTGAGAAACTGCACTTGAGGCAAGAACAGAGGAAATTCATTGCACTTTGTCCTTTCCCCCACCCCTTCCCAGCTCAGTGAATGAAGAAGTTCTTCCGGAGCAGAACCTTTGGGACGGTATCAAGGGTACCAACATATGTGCAACAGGAGCTCTGGACGGAGAGGAGAGAAATGGCAGAAGAAATATTTGAAGAAATAATGGTTGGAAACTTCTCAAATCTGATGAAAAACATTATACATCTAAAAAGTGCAACAAATACCAAGTAGGAAGAACACAAAGAGATTCACACCTAGAAAAAGACTTGAAAGTTAAATGCCAAGATAAACATCTTGAAAGCATCAAGAGAAAGATGATTCATCACAGACAGAGGAGCATCAATACAATAAACAGGCCTGTAATCCCAGCACTTTGGGAGGCCGAGACAGGAAGATCACTTGAGCCCAGAAGTTTGGGAAACACAGTGAGATCCCATTTCTATAAAAAAGAAAAAAAAAATACAATTAACTGATTTCTCATTTAAAATAATAAAATAAAAATTTTTAAAGTGCTGAAAGAAAACAACCATTAACCAGGAATTCTATATTCAGCAAAACCATCCTTGAAAAATGAAGGCAACACAAAGATGTTCCTATATAAATAGAGACTGAGAATTTGTTGCTAGGACAGCTGCCTGATACAAAATAATTTAAAAATTGCTAATCCCAGCACTTTGGAAAGCCTAGGTGGGTGGATCACCTATCAGGAGTTTGAGACCAGCCTAGCCAACATGGTGAAATCCGGTCTGTACTAAAAATACAAAAATTAGCCAGGCGTGGTGGTGGGCACCTGTAATCTCAGCTACACAGGAGGCTGAGGCAGGAGAACTGCTTGAACCCGGGAGTCAGAGGTTGCAGTGAGCCGAGATCGTGCCACTGCACTCCAGCCAGGACAACAGAGTGAGATTCCATCTCAAAAAAAAAAAAAAAAAGAGTCCTCAGGCTGAAAGAAATGACTCTAGATAATGACCTGAATCCGTAGACAGAAATGAATAGCCCAAGATGGCAAACTGTAGTTTAAAATAAGATTCCAGGCCAGGCACAGTGGCTCATGCCTGTAATCCCAGCACTTTGGGAGGCCGAGGTGGGTAGATCACGAGGTCAAGAGATAGAGACCATCCTGGTCAACATGGTGAAACCCCGTCTCTACTAAAAATACAAAAAATTAGCTGGGCATGGTGGCGCGTGCCTGTAATTTCAGCTACTCAGGAGGCTGAGGCAGGAGAATTGCCTGAATCCAGGAGGCAGAGGTTGCGGTGAGCCGAGATCGCGCCATTGCATTCCAACCTGGGTAACAAGGGCGAAACTCCGTCTCAAAAAAAAAAAAAAAAAAAAAAAAAAAAATGCTGGGTGCAGTGGCTCAAGCCTATAATCCCAGCACTTCGGGAGGCTGAAGCGGGCGGATCACAAGGTCAAGAGATCGAGACTATCCTGGCCAACATGGTGAAACCCCGTCTCTACTAAAAATACAAAAATTAGCTGGGTGTGGTGGTGTGCGCCTGTAATCCCAGCTACTCGGGAGGCTGAGGCAGGAGAATTGCTTGAACCCGGGAGGTGGAGGTTGCAGTGAGCTGAGATTGTGCCACTGCACTCCAGCCTAGCGCCTGGCGACAGAGTGAGACTCTGTCTCAAAAAAAAAATTTTAAAAATTAAAAAATAAGGCCGGGCGCGGTGGCTCAAGCCTGTAATCCCAGCACTTTGGGAGGCCGAGGCGGGTGGATCACAAGGTCGAGAGATCGAGACCAACCTGGTCAACATGGTGAAACCCCGTCTCTACTAAAAATACAAAAAATTAGCTGGGCATGGTGGCGCGTGCCTATAATCCCAGCTACTCAGGAGGCTGAGGCAGGAGAATTGCCTGAACCCAGGGGGCGGAGGTTGCGGTGAGCCGAGATCGTGCCATTGCACTCCAGCCTGGGTAACAAGAGCGAAACTCCATCTCAAAAAAAAAAAAAAAAAAAAAAAAAAAAAAAAAAAAAAAAAAAAAAAAAAAAATTAAAAAATAAAATAAATAAATTAAATTAAATAAGATTCTAAGATTCTATAGATATATGCTTTCTTATTTCTTCTCTTAACTTCCTTAAAGATATAAGATGGCATAAAGTAACAATTATACTATACTACTAGGTTTATAACATAGATGGTTATAATATATATGATAAACACAGCACAAAAAAGGGAGAAGGAAATAGGACAATATTGAATAAATGTTTTATATTTTATTGGAATTTAGTATTGACCTGAATTTCACTGATAGATGCACATTATAATAACTAAAAAGATAGTTAAACAAGAATTCAAATATCATACTAAGTTATATTTATTTATTTATTTATTTATTTATTTAATTTTTGAGGCAGAGTCTCATGGTCACCTCAGCTGGAGGGCAGCAGCACAACCTCGGCCCACTGCAACCTCCGCTTCCCTGGTTCAAGTGATTTTCCTGTCTCAGCCTCCTGAGTAGCTGGGATTACAGGTGCATGCCACCACACCTGGCTAATTTTTATATTTTTAGTAGAGACAGGGTTTCACCATGTTGGCTAGGCTGGTCTTAAACTTCTGGCCTCACATGATCCACCCGCCTCAGCCTCCCAAGGTGCTGAGATCACAGGTTTGAACCACTGCACTCTGCCACAAGCATATCCTTATAATAAAAAACTGTGCAGTCAGTGCGAAGAAAGAGGTCAATCTGTTGATGTATGAGGACAGATGGTCTGAGCTATAGTAAATGGAAACAACGCATGGTAGAAAACATGATTTTGTGTTCTTAAGAGGAAGAATACATACATATTACACACACACACGTATATATGTGGAGAAAAAAAGAAATTTTTAAAAAGCCACTGTGTATCATCCAAGGTTAAGGGTTAAGTGGTATATTTGAAAGAACTGCGTTGGTAAAGGTTTAGAGAATAGTCTCTGGAGGAGTGTACACCAATGGATTATCTCTGGAAGTAGTAATGATGCCAAATATGTGGAGAATAAAAGTCAAATTAAGCTGGGCATAGTGGCACATGCCTGTAGTCC